GTTCTACAGATATCGGTATGGTTATAAAATTCTTCGTCAAGATTGAGATACCATAATCAGTGTAAAGGTTTTCTATCATACCAGTGATTTCGTCAGGCATATGGTGACTTTTTAAAATAGATTTTATCAGGTTATGGTGCACTTCTCCAAATGCATTTTTGAGATCGATTAGAGTGACAATGATAGACCGCTGCTTGTTGCGGGCGTGGTTTAATAAATAATTTAGCAGTTCGGTATGTTCAACTGTACCAGACAAGCCTGGCCAGAAACCCTTTTGAATGTTTGTTTCGATATATTTATATTGTCGAGCACGAATTTGAAAATTTTGTTCCTTATCGCAGAGGTGAAAACTTTCAACATGACTGGCTCTAAAACAATTGGGCGAAAATTAGCAGGATTGTCAAGTGAATCCTTTTTGTAAATGAGTACCGCAACAGCACGTTTCCAGATAGTCGGAATATATTTTTCGGTCCAGCATTTCGAGAGGAGTCTCCAAAGCTGTGTTCTCAGGATGGGGCACCGTTTAAAAGGAATAATACTTATTTGGTCAATAGGGCAAGGAGAACCACTACTTTTCATTTTCCGAATTATTTTCGTTATTTCTTGGTAAGTTGGACATTCCAGGTCAAAATTGCTCGATGCCACTGGAAATGGTTTCAGCCAAGAGGAAAGGTTGAATGTTTGGTTTTTATGCTTTTCAAAGAAAATATTTCTAAAATAATCATAGCAGGACGATTCGTCAAAATTTGGTTCTTGTGTCTCTGATTCTTCAAACTCTTTTTTACAAAATTTCCAATAATAATAATAATAATAATAATAAAATTTTGTTCATAGCTTCCAAAAATATAGCCTTGAAATGTAACCTTTTGCATGCCAGAAAATGCAATCATCGAACTTCAAATATAAGAGCTCATCCCGTGTTTTTAGAAATCTTAGACATAATTATTATTGTAATGACAATCAAGGCTTTAAAAGGTCTATCATATATACAACCATTACAATTGAGGTTGGAATTCAGGTGAAATCCCTCTTACGACCCACTTCTTCAGTCAACTCCAGATACTTTGCAACACCCCTGCGTGTGCAACGTGCAAAACATTCCGCAATTTTTTGTCTTCGTTGCCGACAACGTTAACAATGTTGTTGTTCTTCTTGGTTTGTCGTTGTTGTTAGTTGTTTGTTGTAATCGTTATCGTTACTACATTTAATACTTTCACTGTTAATGCGGCTTCTTGTTTTACGTTTGTCGTAATATGTTTTGCTAAGTTTAATGTTGTTGATCATTGATGTTATTTGTTTCTGTTTTTGTCAAATGAATTCATGCAGTTACTGTACATATATTGATTTTCGTTTTCATAATTTCATTGTTGTTGTTGAATTGGTCTAGCCGGTATTGTTATTATTTTCTATTGTGACTTCACATACCTTATCCCTCTTTGAATCTTCATTAGACCACTTGACAGACTCCTGAAGATTTCCAACCTCATTTTGGATAAGATCGAGGAGCTCACGATCTACTGGGTTGCCAAAGCATAGCTTTATCCCTGTGAATTAAAATTAAAGATGCAGAAAATGCTGCTTTTATACAATAGATTTATTTAGGAAAAAGATGGAATATGCTCTATTATTATTGATTTAAAAAATTCGTGGTTTCTGATCGGTTAACAACCAACTAGCTGACCAAATATAGAGTTTTGACATAATACTCAATGGAGTGACATCATAAAAAAATCATAGATTAGGAAAAAAATGGAATATATTGGATTAGTAAAATTTTGCATAATAAATGAGCTTTCGCGCGTTCTGATTGGCTAGTTGACCAGTAAATCTGACGTTTATTTACTAGCAGACTAGTAAGTAATGCTTTTCGAAAACAATGACTCGGCAAATTAATTTGGTTTCAAAATCGACGAAGTATTGAAAAATATCGTCCCCAGAAAACGAAAGAAGCACAAAATTTTGTGTTTAACTTGAAAGGTAAGATTAATCCTTTATTATTTTACTGTGTAAAACATATTCACGGAAAATTTAAAACTTATTTAAAACTCGAATGTTGGGGAAAACCTTGCCGGGAGATCCTTTTACTAAAACCATTTTGTTTTGTATCCTATAGATATCTCAATTCGTATGGTAGTTTTTCTTTCGATATGTCATGTTTTTATTCTGCTGTGTGGTGTCCTGACGCTGTATTGTGTTCTCGAAACTTGTAAAGTGAAAAGTGAATTAAAACTTTATTTCGAGCAATAGTTTACATTTCATTTTACCAATATTCTCAACCATTTCCTGGACAAATTAAAGCTAAACAGAAATTATTTTTAACTCTAAGTTTGGTGAAAAGTCAATCGACATTCCATCATTGTGTTTTATTTTCTAAGTTCGAAAGTTTGAACAGGAGTTTAATTAGAGGAAGCTAAACTGAAGTCTGAAAGCCAATGTAATTCTGTTAAGTTGCCCAAGTTAGTCATATCTAAATTCCAAGGAATCCACTTGGACTGGGAGATTCTGGGGGAATTTCGAAACAGAAAGTGATATCAGCCCTATTACCAAACTGTCATACCTTATTAATTAGCTACTTATTCCCAAGATTCACGCATCCATCGATGGTCTGCCCTTTTCTACTAAAAGGTATGAAAGAGGAAAAACTATTCTAAAGACACGGTATGGGGAAAAAAGCAAAGTTGTAAATGTCAACATTATTTCCTTGACAACCATACATGGGTCCAATGCGAAGAAAATCAATCATTTCTTTGAAACACTGGTTGCAAATACACCAGCATTACAAACTATGGAGAAGATAAAAGAAGTGAAGGTTTTGTACGAAGTACTCTGGAAAATTTGTTAGGCATAAAAGGCAGACTTAGTTCGGTCCGATGATGACTGGCAACCTGGGACGTTTTACATGCCAAACAGGAGTCGTGGAAGCCGAAGTGGTATGTGTTCTGCGAGTCAACCATACACAAGTTTGTAGACTGCAACCATGTTGCGGATGTTCCATCTCCAAAGAAGATTTTGTCCAAGTCCTTAAGACTGTTGTCCCGAGAAGGCGGATCGTATATGTTGCGGAAAATTAATGATAGCAGTTCATCATTAAATGAGTGTTTTAAAACTGGCCTATACCATTACAAAATCGTACGTGAGACTTTCACGTTAGGGATTCGTCTGAAACCAATGGCACTGAGTGGAGACCTTATGCAAGCCTTTGTCCATGTTCAAGAACGCGCTCCAAGTATAGTTCAATGAATCAAACACAAGGACTCATTAGCTGTAAGGACGTCTTGAGATTTGCCTAAGCGCCTTTCGGCCTCATTCAGTCACCATTATTGCTGGGAAGGATTATTTAGTATCTTATGAAGAGCGTGTTTCAGCAGTACCCTACAGAAGTTTCGGAAATCGAGAAAAGCCTCTGTGTAGATGATATCATTAGCGGTAGAGAAACCGATCCATAATTTGAAAGCAAAGGCAGTGGAAATTTTTGAGCATGGAAAGTTCACTTTACACAACTACACAAGTGGCACTCCAACAGACCAGATTTGGAAGGGGAAAGCCGGCCCTCGGAAGCTACTCAACGTTACACTAAGGAACAACTTGGTGTCAACTCGGGTGAAACAAATCTGTTAGGATTTCCTGGAATAGAGCGAAGATAACGATCGCCACAGTCTTTCCAAACAACATGCCTGTCTCAACCAAAAGAGAAATACTACGATTTCCGGCTTTCATCTACAATCCCCTTGGCAGCGACCGCGCAGCGATTTCACGATTGCGGACTAATCCCAACCCACCCTGTCGGCGTTCCCTGTGGGAGGAAACCGGAGTACCCAGAGAAAACCCACGACTTTCAGCAGAGCGTTGACTAGCTCTTCAACGACTTTCGGTGGGGCGTTAACTTCACTGTCATTAGTCCGATGTGAGGAGCGAACCCACAGTCTCAAGGGTGAAAGGCGCTTGCTGTGATGTTTGCGCCACCAAAGCCCCTAGTAAGAACTGCATAGCAAAGTTGACTTAGACGGAGAATCAGAGTGACGCTGAAACTGAAGTTCAAGTAGAGTTACTCGTGAGAAAATTCAATGGAAGACATATCGAAACGGATCAATCTAAGAATGAACAGCTAACGCAGCTCAATCTTTCAATGTAGAGGAAAAATCCAAGTATATGTATGTACCACCTGGCACATTAATTATTGCTCAGCGAGAAAATAATCGAAAATGCCCATGTTGCGTAGGTCATATTGGATACGAAGGCTTGGTCAGCTAACGAAAAACGTGATCTTGCATATTTCATGATGCGTTGCTAATGAATTAATTTTTGTATGTTATTGAGTTTCACATTGTTCTTATTGAAATTTGAATGTGTGTGAATAAAAGTACAAAATTAATTACCTATATCTGACCATATAGTTGTTGTTACGAAAGGGCGAACGGTGGTGTTTAATATGCAATTTTAAAAGTTTTGTTGGTATTAAAATTTTTCGTGTTTGAATCTTGCTAAAATGATTTCAACGAGAATGCTTCCTCGATGTTGAAACGACAGCGCATCGGTACCTTGTTTTTATGTGGGAGTTGACCGGTCAAAAATGGAACCTAACGGTCACAGTGACAGTTAAACACGTATTACCGTTTAGTTCGGTCCGTGCTAAAAATTTTCCCTCGGCTTCACTGAGCGTCTCTCGGCCCGCTTCTGGGACCTTGGAAAAATTATTTCAGTATGGACCGAACTAAACGGTAAATAACGTGTTTATTTTTACTAAGCGATTTATGTTGTTATTTGTTCTTTCTTCCTGTGCCACACTGGATGCAAACCATTTGTGATCACTCTTTATATATGAAATTGGATTTGCCTCATATATATTTCATCTATCATGAAATGCTGAGCCCTGAGCATGGATTTATAAGGTATACACCGTATCTATACTAAGTGCTTGAATATATATGTTACTGTAAAAAGCGAACAGATTCGTATATATATGTTCTTTCCTTCAATTATATCTGAGTCAATATATGTTTGTGATGTTACTCTGAGTGCATATCCACACCGGGCGAGCTTGAAAAATATGCCCGGCCACGGTGGGATTCGAACCTACGACCTTTGGAATACTAGCTCAATGCTCTTCCAACTGAGCTACGCGGTCAGGACGGTTCGAGTAAGTGATATTTCGGAACAATATCTAGTTCCTTCAATACCAATGTGTTCTTGTAATATGAATTTTTTTTTTTTTTTCTGTGCTGGTGTTGTGTACTCAGGTGAATAATAATATGTTTGTGATGTTACTCTGAGTGCATATCCACACCGGGCGAGCTTGAAAAATATGCCCGGCCACGGTGGGATTCGAACCTACGACCTTTGGAATACTAGCCCAATGCTCTTCCAACTGAGCTACGCTGTCAGGACGGTTCGAGTAAGTGATATTTCGGAACAGTATCTAGTTCCTTCAATACCAATGTGTTCTAGTAATATGAATTTTTCTGTGTTGGTGTTGTGTACTCAGGTGAATAATATGTTTGCGATGTTACTCTGAGCGCATATCCACACCGGGCGAGCTTGAAAAATATGCCCGGCCACGGTGGTATTCGAACCTACGACCTTTGGAATACTAGCCCAATGCTCTTCCAACTGAGCTACGCGGTCAGGACGGTTCGAGTAAGCGATATTTCGGAACAGTATCTAGTTCCTTCAATACCAATGTGTTCTTGTAATATTTTTTTTTTTTCTGTGTTGGTGTTGTGTACCCAGGTGAATAATATGTTTGCGATGTTACTCTGAGTGCATATCCACACCGGGCGAGCTTGAAAAATATGCCCGGCCACG